ACACACACACACACACACACACACACACACACACACACACACACACACACACACAGATGATACAAACACGTGTCTCATAAACATCATTTTTGGGGACCTTTTCCCTGACTCTTCTCAACACTATGGGGACATTTTGCGTTACAAGGACCAAAGCTCTACGAAGGCACTGAGAGTACAAAGCTCTGCGAAATACCTACACAGTCCACATTCACTGAAACACGTTTTTGCGTCTGTGTGTGCAAAGCTGCGACCTGACACTGCAACAAGACACCGAGTCCTACATGAATAATCCACACGGCTCATTTAGCCGCCTCGCTGCCCATTCAAACCTCTGTTTCTGACACTAAAACAAATACACGAGTTATGGAAGCCATGCAATTTTAATGTCCTGCTTCATTTTGGTCTGTCAGTCAAACAAACTTTAACTTTATCTGATATATCTTTTTGTATCTCCATGTAAAACACTACTGTTAAAATCTCATGCACAGAAAAAAAAAACATTTTTCCATTCCTCTTTGCCTACTTTGGTTCAGTCGTTTCAATAAAATTTGCAAAAGTCTGTGAAATTGCCAATTAATTTTGTTAACRTTTTGAATCACCTCTTAAAGTGACCCTCTTAACAATATCACATAGAAAACATTTTTAATAGTCAGTGCAAAAGGTTGCCAAAAAAATGTTGTTCCAGACCTGGTCATCAGATCTTAAAGACCTGAAAGAGTCTRAACTGAGTCTTGAGATAATAATATAATCTGTTGTTTTAATCTACATCTGTTCTTATTGGCACACATAAGCATCGCCATGCTCAACTACAAACACATACCAGTCTGTACTGGCTGATAACCTCAGACTATTTAAAGTTCTCAGATCTGAAAAGGACCCCAGAAATAATTCAGTGGGACAGAAAAAGAGAGAGATTGTCGGTGCACGTGGCGTGGGGTATCAAGTTAACACATGGAAAAATCTGCACTCAACAACAACAACAACAACAAGACACGCATGTGCTTAAAGGAGCCACACTTAAAACACACATTTGACACAAGATTTTAGTCATTATACAGTGTTTTTTTTATACATAAAAGTAAAAACAATCCAAGACAATATTTTGAGCTGTTTTATAAAAAGATAGCAGATATTATACACACTTAAAGAAGCCCACCTTGACAAATAATTCGATATCGGGGTCCTTGTCCTCCTCGGCTACAGAATCAGTCATGGTCAAGAAAAAATAAACTCTTTTCTTCAGTGAGCTTTGTTTAAGCAGCTCAAGTAAGAGTTTGAGTTAGTTTGGCCTGTGTGCTGGTGAGAACTGTCTCAGTTTGCAGCAGATTCCACTGTTTGGTTCCGTCTGTTCTCTCAGAGTATCCGCTCAGGGAGTGTGACAGTGGCAAGGAGAGGAGGTGGGGGTGTGTTTGGCAAAAATGAAAATTAAAAAATAACCCCCTCAGTGGTGGGGTACTAGAATCAGTAACGTAACGAGGAAACACTTTGTCACCTGAGGGGGGCTTTATGTTTCCCCCCTTCTTACAATGACTCAGAATGTTTGAGTCATGCAGAGTCACGGTCACCTCCTGATACTCAACAACACCCATGTGCAGTRTTGTATAAAGTACCTCAAWGTGATACTWGAGTAAAAGTGCAAGTATCATCATGAAAATACTTTGGTAAAAGTTRAAGTCTTCTCTAAAAATATTACTTGAGTAAAAGTCTTAAAGTATCTGATATTTTTGTACTTTACTATCAAAAGTAAATTTCTGACACAGAATCTTAAGTATTAAAA